TGTTCTTATACTTAGCAGTTTCAGAGCACATAGTGAGTGCAGTAATAGTCATAGAAGAAAAGGGAGAGCAAAAGGCAGTTTACTACGTAAGTAAAACCTTGGCAGACGCAGAGACCAGGTACTTACCCTTGGAGAAGTTAACACTAGCATTAGTAATGGCTTCCAAGAAGCTGAACCACTACTTTCAAGTCCACAAAATTGTGGTATTAACTGAATGTCCTTTGAGGTCCCTGCTGCAGTAGAGAGATCTGACAAGCAGAATAGCCAGATAGGCAATGGCCTTAGGACAATATGACCTGGAATTCAGACCCAGGAGAGAAATCAAGGGCCAAGTCTTAGCCGACTTCGTGGCCGAATTCACACCAGACGTTGCCATACATCGGGCTCCGTTGAGCCGAGGTATGCAACGTCCAAATGAGCAAAGAAGTACCCAACAAGGGACAATGGAACAAAGGAAAGAAGAGAAACTCAGACCCTACAGCATTTACATCGGCAACTCCTTCCGGTTGTTTGTTGATAGGAGTTCAAACCAACAAGGAGCAGGGGCAGGAATAATGCTAGTATCACCAGATGGGCAGATACTGGAACAATCCATTCGTTTGGAGTTTAAAGCCTAAAACAATGAGGCAGAGTATGAAGCACTAATCGCAGGATTAAAGTTGGCAGCAGCCATGGAAGCCGACGAAGTGATAGTCTTTTGTGACTCCCAGCTTATAGTCAATTAGGCAATAGGGGAATTTGCAATCCGAGATGAAAAGATGTTGGCCTACGCAAAGGAAGTGGGAGACTGGTAGCCTTATTTCAAAATTGCCGACTACAGTAGGTAAACCGAGATGACAACAGCCATGTCGATGCTCTGGCCTACCTGGCTAGTGCAATGAAACCTGGAAAGGCAAGAACAATAATAGTTAACTACTTGTCAAGTCCAAGCATAGAACCACTGAGCACAAAGCGTGAAGCAATGTGTGTGGAGATGGGACCAAGTTGGATGGATACAGTAGTAGTATTCCTCAAAGAAGCAAAATTGCCAGACGACCATAAAGAAGCGCACAAGATCAGACTTAAGTCGGCAAGATTCAATTTGACCGAAGAAGGACATCTCTACAGAAGATCTTTTACTGGACCACTTCTGAGGTGTGTGCATCTTGCACAGGTTGATGACTTTCTGTACGAAATACATGAAAGAGTATGTGGAAGCCACGCTGGGGGCAGGTCGCTTGCTCATAGGGCCATCACTCAAGGGTACTGGTGGCCTTACATGCAGAAGGATGCTGAAGCCTATGTCAAGAAATGTGAGAAGTGCAAGAGATTTGCACCGTTAATAGATCAACCAGCAGCAAACTTGAACCCGGTGTCCAGCCCTTGGCCATTTGCCCAATGGGGCATGGATCTTATTGGAAAACAGCCTCCAGTAACTGGACAAAGGAAGTACCTGTTGGTAGCAATAGATTACTTCACCAAGTGGGTAAAAGCTGAACCCCTTGCCAAGATTCAGGACGTTGATATGAAGAACTTCATATGGAAGAATATCATCACTAGGTTTGAAATCCCAAGAGCAATAATAGCTGACAATGGCACACAGTTTGACTGTAAGTTAATCAAGAGATTCTGTGCAAAGTTCAAAATCAAGAATTATTTTTCCACTCCAACTTTTCATCAAAGTAATGGACAAGCAGAAACATCCAACAAAGTTATCTTGCACGGAATTAAGAAGAGGCTGCAAGCAGTAAAAGGAAAATGGGTGGATGAATTGCCAGTGTACTCTGGGCATATCGGACTACGCTGAGAAGATCAACTGGGGAATCCCCATTTGCCATGGCTTATGGCACAGAAGCAGTCATTCCTCTGGAGGTCGGCATCCCAGGGATCAGAACCCAAGGAGTGGAGAATAGAACTAATGATATATTTATAGCCCGAGATCTGGATCTGCTAGAAGAGAGAAGGAAGAAAGCAACAATTCAACTGGGGGTATACTAGCAGCAGCTTGCCAGGGCTTATAATAAGAAGGTGAACCCACGAGAGTTCTAAGTTGGTGACCTCGTCCTGAGAAAGGTTGTTGGCAATAGGAAGGATCCCAGAGAGGGCAAGTGTGGCCCGAATTGGAAGGGACCCTATAGTGTCATCTCGGTCTTGGGCAATGGAGCATATCGGTTTGTAGACCGTGAAGGCAAAGAATTGCCAAGACCCTAGAATACTTGCAATCTGAAGCTTTTTTATCATTAAATTTTCTTGCTTTCTAAGTTTTCTTTTTGTCTTGTTATTAGCAGAAGTAATAAAGTTTTAGCTTGATCTTGAAACTTGTGTAATGTGCTTGACCAGATACTTGACGATGTTTCTAAGTGAAACATGGCGAATAACTTAGACTTATTATATGACAGAGTAGAACTTTTACTTGCATATAATAGAGTTGAACTAAGTTGGCGATGTTTCTAAGCGAAACATGACGAATAACTTAGACTTATTATATGGCGGAGTAGAACTTTTATGCATATAATAGAGTTGAACTAAGTTGGCAATGTTTCTAAGCGAAATATGACGAATAACTTAGACTTATTATATGGCAAAGTAGAACTTTTACATGCATATAATAGAGTTGAACTAAGTTGGGATAACCTGAACTTGTCATATTGAAAAAATTAAACTCAGATTGGAACTAAGTACATATCAGTCAGATTAACAAAGAGGCCGAGGTTGGTTACCTCGGCTAATCTTTGTTTGAACCTGACCTCTGCAACAAGGTCAAAGCCCCAGGCTTAAATGAGAACCCAAGTGGAACTTAGGTTCACATTAGGGGGCAGAGGACTGGGAAATTGTGTTTAACACATGTTGAAATTTAAAAAGAATTCACAAGTTAAAGTTAAACCGATGTCATGTTTCACACTTGTTGAAATTTAAGAAAAATTTATAAGTTGAAGTTAAACCGAGGTCATGTTTAAACACTTATTGAAATTTAAGAAAAATTTACAAGTTGAAGTTAAACCGAGGTCATGTTTAACACTTGTTGAAATTTAAGAAAAATTTACAAGCTAAAGTTAAATCAAGGTCATGTTTAAACACTTGTTGAAATTTAAGAAAAATTTATAAGTTAAGCCAAGGTTGTAACGAAAAAAGTACTTACGTACTTGCCAAGATGAAAGCGTTAGTTTGTTTAATCGAGGTATATGACCCCAAGAAGATTGATGTGTATAAAAGACATGCAAATTATTCTAAATATAGATGCATTAAAAGAAGAAGAACATGCAAGCATTCAAAAGAAATGAAGTTGTATCTACATTCAAAAGAAGGCACGTTGGCCAGCTGAAAGCTTAACATAAACAAAGTACAAGGAACAAAAAAAAAGAGAAAAAACATCAAAACTAGGACTCTTCGGCGTCTCTGGCTGGTTGGGTCTGGAGTTTAGAAGACAGCTGAGAAAACATCTCAGCAGCCCTCTCAGCCAAGAGCTCGGCACCGATTTCTTGAAAAGTTTGATCGAGGCTCTTGTCGACAATAGGCGCATCCGAGGTTGCCTTCTCAAGAGTAGTGTCTTTGGAGACCTCATCCTTCTCATCCTGAGACAAGTCCACGACTTGCTCGTTCAGAGTAGGGAACTTGGCCCCAGCAACGTCCTTCTTCTTCCTAACCAAAGCTTCCTCCTCGGACTCAGAATTGTCTTCGGATTGGCTTGGAGTAGGTGGGAATGGCAGAGGGAGGTCGTCGGCGTTCTTAAGAAAGGAGTCCTCGAGGACGTCCAACTTTTTCAGGGCGGCCATCCAACCAAGGGTGAAACCCTTGTTGCATGCCTACTTCACCTGTTTTTTGTAATCCTCCTTAACATCGGCCGCCCCCTTTGCTTAAGCTTTCTCATCAACGGCCTTAATCTCAGCCTCTTTTGTGGCCAAGGCATCTTGAAGCTCCTTTTGGGCCTCGGCCATCTTTTCTTCGGCCTCTTTCTTTTCAGCAGTAAGGACCTTGGCAATGGCTTCAGCAGCATCAGCCTTCTCTTCGGCCTCATCTTTAGCCTTGATGACTGCCTTAGCCTGATCTGACAAGGTCTTTATTTTTCCCTCGATCTTTTTGAGGGTCTTCTGTAAACCAGTAACCTCCCTGATCTTGTCGGCCAACTCCTTCCTCATTTCAAAAGCTTGCATTGAGAAGGACTGGGCGTGTTGGATCGCCTGAAAAAAAATGAACAGAACAAAAGTTAGTAGAAGTTCTCAAAGGATGGAAGAATAAAGAAAGAAAGATACCAAGTGTAAGGAATTTACTTGAACGGAATGCTGCAGCATCAAAGCGAAGTTTTCATACTCGCTCATCTCGGCGTTACGATTGAGATCTTCAGGAAGGAGCAAGGCTGTTGTAAGGGCAACGCCGACGTTAATGTCGACAACGTTGTCGTTTACTCTGACCGGCATGTCCTCCATTGTGATTGGGAGAGCCCAGGGGGAGTTAGACTTCAAAGAACCCGAAGCTGTCGCCGACTCTGACCTCGGCCTCTTAGACCAAGTTGATTGAGATGGTTCGGCCTCGGTGGGCCTCTTCTCGGGAATGGAGGCGGTCTTCCCATTCTCGGCCAATTTTGAAATTGGCAAGGTGTCCTCAGTGTCAATCTGAGTCACCGTTGCCTTAGGCTGGGCTTTTTTCATTCTTTTGGGTTTTAGCTTTGGTTGAGGCTGGGATTATGCTGGTTGAGCTGTGACAGTGTCAGGGATTATGCTGGTTGAGCTGTGACAGTGTCAGGGATTGTACTGGTTGAGCTGTGACAGTGTCAGGGATTGTACTGGTTGAGCTGTGACAATGTCAGGGATATTGGCCAGAAGATCTTCTACAACTACCTTTTTGCGACCCATCTTGGCAGGAATTACAGTTCGGCTTCGGCGTCGGCGTCGGCGTTGAGATGGAGGGATCAGCTGTGGAGCCGAGGTAGATGACTGTTTTGCTGGATCTGAAGTTGACCCCTGATCTGGCCGAGATGATGAAGTCACTGGTAGAGTTTTGGCGGAAGGAGGAGACTTGCTTTTCTACTTCCTTAGGACGTCGGGAAGCACCGACTTGTAGGTCGGGATGAAGTTGAGCAGTAAAGGAGCTCTCCGCTTGTGGACTGGCAGATCCAGCAACTTCTTAAGATCCTTGCTAGGGAAGAAGGACTTACGGAAGTCTTTTGGTGGGTGTGGTAGAGCTGTAAGAAAAACAGACGTTAGAACATATGGAAAGAACAAAGAATTAAAAGACTTGAAAAAAAATACAACACTTGGCTCTTACCATTACCCTCTACGAATACTGTTCGGCTGAGAGGGTAGAGGTGAAGGTCGTCATCTGGAGCAAACTCCCAGTTTCCCGAGACAATGAAGTAATCATCCTTGACTCCTTTGTTGGAGTCTGGGAGGTTGGCAACAAGTTTGTACTCAGTGGACCTCGGTTTAAGGTAGTAGATGTAGCCTTTTTCCAACTTGAGGCCACACATGGTGTAGCAATATTGAATATCAGCCAAGGTTACCCTAACTTTTTCTTGGCGTGCTAAGGCAATTATACCATTAATAACTCAGTAAGAGTTAATGGCAAGCTGCATCGGGTTTAATTTGTAATAATGAAGGACTTCTCGGAAAAGGATATCTAGTGGAAGCCGAAGTCCGTACTCAATAAAGGCGACGATTGGGAAGGGCATGGAGTCAACTGTGGGCATAATGGAGTCGTCCTCCCCAGCCAACCTAAGATGAACATCGACTGGGATGGAAAATTCCTGCCTAAAGTATTCTAGCGTGGTTGGGGTGTCTACCCTATGCTTCCACATACCCATGATGTCGGCTTGGGAAAAGGTGTAGGATTTCAGAAAGAAGTGTTTTTGAAAAGGTTTTGAAGGACCTCGGCTAAAACCTAAATAGGTGCTGGGGTAAGAATTTGTGGGGATCTAAAGGGAATTCGTTTCAGTTTTTCCTAAAAATCGTGGGTTCTATGAACGAGTTCCAAACCTAGATCTATGGAAACAGAGGTTGAAGGCAAAAATCTGGAAAAGACACAGAAAACAGAAAACAAAGAACGTGCTTCAGAATCGAGAATGGTGATAAAACCATCAAGAAACACAAGACAAAAGTTTGCACAGGTGTGTAAGGCCAAGAACAATGGCAAAAATCAACAAATGTGTGAGCAATATGTATATATTTTAGAGCGGATTGAGCAAAATGGAACCATGGAACAAATATTCTTAATGCGTGGGTCGAAATTACAAACACAAATGAAGATCCAAGAACATGAATACAATCACAGTGGCGATATACAAACGTAACGGTATAAAGTGAAACAAGAAATTGAATCAAAGAAAGGAACAGTGACTCACCGGAGAGAAATGAAGCCGAAGTAAATTTTGTCGGGATCAGACGGTGGCCGAAAGCAAGGAAATGCAGCAGAAGCCTCGCCGGAGGGGAGAATGAGACTGGTTACAAAAAAAACTTGACGGTAACAACAATGGGGAAATTGAGAAGGTAAGAGAGAGAGAGAGAGAGAGTTTGAACAAAGACGATGATGTGAAGTGAAAAGACGAAGAGAGAGGGAACAAGTTTTGTCAAAAACGCGAAGAGGCGGCAAAATGCAATTGATGTGCCTAGAATGACGTATTTGTCAGACGGGGCACGCATGCGTGGGGTGACTTAATGGCGCGTATCAGACACGGTCCAGTAAACGGTTGAAATGTTGTGCGTAACAACTCATGCGCATAATAAAACTCTTGGAGTTCTTGATCTAATGAAGCAATGACCACGGCTGGTAGGAACATCTCGGCTAAATAACTTGAACAAACTAGGTTATTGGTTCTAAGGCCTTGATGAGACAGAATATAGGTCCTGATCGTGTGAAGCCGACGAATTATGACCTCGGTAATGAAGGATAGAGCCAGCTTAGCCGACGTGCTAGACGGTTTGCAGAGATAGGTTCCATCACCTCAAGATGCCGAGGTAATAGAACCTAGGGGACAGTTGTGGGGACATATTTTTCGAGTACCAACACGTGGCCAAGGTGACGCAGAAGTGTCAGTCGAGGTGCCATGTTTTCTAGTCATGACGCCGAGGTGATCTCGGATAGTTCGAGGTTATCTCCAAAGATATCGGAATCCGGGATAAGTGGATAAGGGACGAGAGTCCTAGAATGAGAGAAGACTACAGTTTGGATAAAGATAAGACTCTTAGAGAGTTTTATCCCAATCCTACTGGGAGTCCAATATTAGCAAAAATCAGAGTCCATTGGGACTAGGTTTGTGTTGGCTATAAAAGAGAGGCACCCTCATAGGTTTAAGGTACGCTTTTTGTATTCCAAATAGTGAGTTAAGCAATTTTGCTATCTTTGAGAGATAACTGACTTGATCGTCGGAGTGCCCCCGAGTGGACGAACCACCACCGGAAACTCTTTTTCTTTTTGACAGGTCGTTCGGGCTTAATCTATTCTGTCAGTACTCTCCAGTTAAATACTAGTTTGGCAGTGTAGTCAAAAATTCACTCACATGATCGATAATAATCAAATTCATAGAGAGTAATACTTTCTCTCTCTCAAAATAATAATTATTTTTGGAAAGTCTAATATTTTTTAGTAGTATAATTATTACATTTTAAAAATATTAATTTTTCAAAATTACCCTTTGATAGTATATTTTTTTTGAAACTATCAATTGTTATAATTGTGCTTTTTGTGTTGTTAATAAATTTAAAAGAATGGTAAAATAGAAAATTTATATTATTTTAGTACTTAATTTTTGAAAATTGACTAATATTTTAGAACAATAAAAAATAAAATAGGGAACTAATATTTTGAGACGGATAGAGTATATACAAATCGAACTTTTGTATATAATTTTTATGGAAAATGATATATTTTTTTATAATTTTTTCATTTCAAACTAAAACATTTCTTATTGTAGCTTGTAACCTTTTCAAAATACAAATACTAAATGGTTTCCTTAAATCATTATTTAATATTAAGATTATATAAACAATGGAAATATTTTTTTTCCTAAATTCAAATTGATAAAAGTTGTCATATTTTTCAATTTTCTATCTTTATCTTATGTTTCAAGAACATTTATTAGGCATACCCTCTTAAAAGTGCTACTGCCCATTGTTCTTGTTGAATCTTGTGTATAAAAATTCTATTAAAAAAAAAAATTAAAAAGGGTAAATTACATTTACCTTCCCTAAGGTTTCTGACAAATACAGGGACCTCCTCTGTAGTTTGAATAATTACAATAACCTCCCCTACTTTACCTGACAATGTCAAGATTCCCCCTTTTGTTGACTTTCGTTTATTTATTTCACAGAAAAAGTTGATGTCATTAAAGCTAAACATTAAAATGTCTATAATGCCCTCAAGTGTCCTCAACCCATCTATGTCCGGAACAGTGTATTTTTTGAGAAAATGGTGGGTAGTTTCCTTTGCCTTCATTTTGTGACTGCTAACTCCATTACCATCTCTCTCTCTCTCTCTCTCTCTCTCATAAATCTTCAAAAATGTCTCCTCAAATCCGAATAGGTGGTCATGAAGGCTACCATTCCTCATCAAATCACACACAATTATCCTCTCTTGGCCTTTTAGAGGAGTAGTAGCAATACAATACCCTCTCAAAGCCACGAGATTCACATGTCGAACGCTCGCAATGACCTCAACCTCGTGGGCGAAAACCGCATCACCTCCCACCGAGCAATTCTTGAACCGCTTTAACGCAACTTCAGAGCCATCCGGCAATACCCCTTTGTATACATTCCCATACACACTTCTCCCAATTATGTTCAACCTAGAGAAATTCTTTGTTGCTTCCCTAATTTCATCAAATGTGTACCTAACTAAAGTAGTACTTTCATTGATTGAATTCATTCCAAAAGCTAAATTAGTTTCTCTCTCATGATCAACCTTACTTCTCTCCCTAATTTTCTCGCATTTTCGCCGTAAAATCCAAAACCTACCACAACCCAGAAACAAAACAAACCCACAACCTATCACAACTACACAAATCACAATTGTTCTAACTTTACCATTCGAATTGCTCAAATCAGAAACATCAAAACCAAACAGACAATTGGCAGTACCTTCATCAGTTGGGCTGAAACGATTAATAAACGTCGCGGCGTAAATCGAAGGGTACGCCATGCAATCAGAGAGGTTTCCAATTGATCGGCCGTTCAAATTCGAAGGCTGGAGGCTCGAGAGACTGGTGGTGCAAGAAGCGCACGGTAAACCGTTACCAAGAGATTGATTACACGCCTTTACGGCATCGTCTAACGCCGATTTCGAGACATTGCCTTCGAATTCATCACGAGTAGTGATGTTCATACAACCCTCGGCAATCCAGGAGGTCTGGAAATCACAGATTTTGTGAATATCATTGAAATTGGGGAAGAAATCGTTAATTAGGGTTTGGTATGAAACCCAACAAGACTTGGCGGAGTCAATCGGAGGAAGAAAATTGTTAGTGGTTTGGAGATAATCGGACTGAACAAGTCGGAGACCGGCCTTGATGTAGTGACAAGAGACGGAATCGGAGTCGAGTTTTGGACGATTTGAGGATTGAATGAGTCGGCAAAGGACGTCAAAATCGAGAGGACATGATGAGGTCGTGGCGTGGAGGTGGCGGGCGGTGGAGGCGGAGGCGGAGGAGGAGGAGGAGAGAGGTGGAGTTGTAGAGAGAGAAAAAGAAAGAAGATGAGGGACATCTGGGGAGTGATTTAGAGAATTCAGATTACACTACTGTTGCAATTCGAAACCAGAGTGAAGTTGGGAATGGGAGATGAGATGAGATGAGAGAGAACAAAAAAATTAAAATTAAAATTAAAATTAAAATTAAAAACAAAATTGAATACTATAATCAAAGGGTATTTTTGTCTTTTCACGCTCAAATAAAAGGGTAATATGGTCATTTTGTATACAAAAGTAACGTCGTTTATGAATAATTGACCGTTTGGGGGAATCTATACAATGTCAGGTAAAGTAAGAGAAGTTAGTGTAATTATTAAAACTATAAGGAAGGTCCCTGTATTTGTCAAAAATTTCAAGAGAGGTAAATATAATTTTCCCAATTAAAAATAATCATAATTTAGCACTATTATCAAACAATAAAAAAATGTCAGAGCAATTATGGACATCGTACTGCCTTTTTTGCATTATAGAGGTAAATAAGACACACTACGACAATGAATTGCAAATTCGTAGGACCCCTAGCTATGGAAACTTTATTTAGGATCTTCTCAGTCCTATTCTAATTTTTTAAGCATTCATTCTAATACAAAATGACAAGATATTTTATGATTGTTTTTTAAGATAATGTTAGAAATATTAAATTTTTCATTAAATAAATGGTTAAATGTGTTATATAGATGTAAGGTTTATAATTTTGTGGATCTATACTCATATAAAATATTTTATCATTTATTTGATAAAAAATCTTGAACCTATAACATTTTTTTTTTATTTAAATCATTTATTGTTGTACTTTATAATTATAAGCATATCACAATTACAACAATTTGAATGCATTTTATGTATTCAAATTATATTTATAAATCACTTTTTAAGTCGAATAGTTGATCCTAAAAATATAAAGATGTGACACTAGTATTATTAAAATCATAAATCATATGATAAGTAATTTTACTTTATTATTATTATTATTGGCTACTGTACGTGTGTCCATGTCTGGCCTTAGTTTAATCTGATTTTGTTAAGTTTTCTTGTAGCTGTAGGTATGCATTTTAAGTTTATTTATGTCATTTTCTTATAGATCAAGTATTTTTTTATGAAATTAAATACTTTTTTTTTCTTTGTCCAAAAAAGAAAAAGAAAAAAAGAGCATATTACATAAAAATGATGTTTGGCAGGACATTAACCATTTTGCCTTTTGAAAAGGGGACGACTAAGTAAACACACCATTTATTTTGCGCAGCGTTGCTGGGTGGGTCGGTAGGTGGGCCCACATATTATTGAGCATCTAGCACAGCCCATGGGTTTGGGTCTTTGGGCCCATTTGTCCGATGGAGACTTCTTTGTTTCTAGCTTGACCGTCACATCACTTTCAATCGGATAATCTTACTTTACAATTTTTTAATATTAATAATTTACAAATATAAAATTTATACATAAAATACATGATGAATTGTTAATATTTTTAAATAATAAAAAATACAATAAATCAGATCATTTTATATCTCATTATTTATTTTATATATTATTGGAATTTTCACTATTTTATATTATGGTAAAATATTTTTTGCATTCGTTATTGTAATTTGTAATGAATATTTTTAAATAAAAAACCTAATACTAAAAAAATATTATACACGAATTGAAATAAAACGATTATTAAAAATCAATCATATATAACATTTTAGACCTGACTCATCTGATTCGTAATCTAAATTAAAAGGTGATGGAAAATCTCGAAATGTGTTAAAAGCCAAAATTGGCTTTTAATTAGCTTTCAAAGTGCCCCATAATTATAAATGTAATGAAATTGAAACTAATTAGATCTCTCGATCAAACTATATAGAACAACGGAATAATTTACCGATAATATAATCTAAAGACAGGGAAAGCAAAACCAGAGGTCAGTAATGGAAGACATAGACATTGTACTCCACCACAGCATCACCACTAGTCATGTTAAGCCAAACAGTGTCGGCATGAGCATACCCTCTCGCAAATCGGAACACTCCACTCCCTCCGACCACCGGCAATTCTCTCACATTCGATAACACGAGATTCCGGCCCAAAATACTAAGAGTGCTTCCATTGTACTTCCCTACTGTGAAAGCAAAGTTCATAACCATTAACAAACCAAACTCATTCTGTGCTGCAAAGGCATAGATTCCCTGTGCTCTTCCCACTTCTTCCGAGCTCAGTTTCGGCTTTAATGTCAATGGGTCGTCGATCATTACCACCGCCCCGAACGCGGTTGATGAATTGTTTGTCATGGCTGCCTGTGCAACTCTGACTGCCGTAGGGTTTTTGCCGGAGACGATGTCATGGAAGTAGAAGTGGAGGTGGCTCAACTTCTCTTTTTTGAGCCCTAGTTTTTTCTGAGAGAGTTTTCTTGAGAATTCTTGAGATTTTGTGGCTATGAGGATGGAGAAGAAGAAGATGGTGAAGATGGTGGAGGTGTGAGTTGGGGTGGTTTTGGCCATGGGGGGTAATAAAGAGGAAAAGAGGTGAGGACCAAATGGTATTTGGTTGGATGTTGCTTTATATAAATCACCAAATACAAACTAATAATAGTGAAATTTTCTCAGTTAGCCAATTGGTGATAGTTGGTGAGAGTTATACGAAATAAAACCCTCATAACAAGTTATTATGAGTTTTTGGTCAGACCTACTATCTATACTTTGAAAAGTTATGACTTGGATCATTATTGTCACGACTCGCTCTCGGTATTCAAGGGTTAAGTATCGTAATGATCAGTAATTAAAATTATTTATGGTCAATTCATAAATAAATTAATAAACGCAAGCGGAAGAAATATTTGAAGTATTGGTACCAAAATAATCATTGGAGCTTCTATTTTGATTACAAAATATATTAACCAAAAAGGCCGATATTTACATATAAAAAAGTGCTATGTATGTCTATTCCGCAGTCTCGCATCTAAGACTTTCCAGAAGTTATTTCAGAATTGCATGTTTCCTGAAAATTGGTAAACAACTATAAGCACATGACAGAGTGAGAAATATTATACCAAGAGTATAAGGGTACGAAATAACCATGGATAATTATGTAGCCAAAACATTTACATAAACAAATCATTTAAGTAGCAGAAATCATTTAAGTAGCAGAAATTGAAATACAGATATTATATAAAAAGATAACTATGATCACGGTACAGAACAGAACAGAACAGAACAGAGGTCACAGAAGTGACAGTCAGAACAGAGGTACAGATTCAAGAAGTGGCTCGTACGGATTCTAGAGGTGGCTCCCACAATAGTGTAGCACTTAGTTCTGCACAGCACTTTGGTCCGCACAGAACAGAGGTACGGATTCAAGAGGTGGCTCGTACGGATTCTAGAGGTGGCTCCCACAATAGTGTAGCACTTAGCTCCGCACAGTACTTTGTTCCACACAGAACAGAGGTCAATGTATCAGAGGACCACAAAGTAACCAAACAGAGATCAGTAGTTATTTAAGTCCCCCAAGGCGTGGAACTCCCGTGGTGGTACTTACAAAACATAATTTTATATAAGGTCATAGCCAAATATTCTTTAAAATATAAACAGACATATTCATGGATTTCCTTTTAAGGAAATAGGGTTCAGAAGATAAACCACGTAACTGAAACTTTTATAAAACATAACTTTTATTAAAAACATAACTTGTATAAAACAGATTTTGGTAAGTTAAAACATACGTAAAATACATTTTAATAACTTAAAATATGATATAACTTACCTTAACTTTAATACCTTACTCTTCTTTTCCACTATTAAAAACCCTTTCTACTTCCATTATTTTTTTCTTCCGTCTCTCATTTCTTTCTTTCCTTTCCTTCTCTCTTTCTTTTCCTTTCTTCTTTTCTCTCTTTCACAGATTGAACAACTTCTCCCTATAAATAGTGAGATGAGACCACCCATCAGCTAACACGTGGCCGATTCAAATCCCTCCCCAGATTGTTTCTGATTCACTCCGAGATTCATACTTATCTTAAGAAATAATTAAGATAATTACATTTTTACTTAAATTTTTAATATAATTAAATAAATAATTTAGTTTCTAATTAAATTACACTTTATCATATACTAATAGAAAGTTAATTATTTATTTTAGTACCACACCTATTATTATTATTATCTATATTATTATTATTTATATTTTGACCTCTAAACTTTTAATAATTATATATATTTTTTTGATCGGCAAAAAGAAGTCTTTATTGATGAAATATAAGAAGAATTACATCAATAAAGAGGAGCTTGGAGCTTAAACAAGCTCCAACCTCCAAGTTGGTGAGAAACCAACAAAGCAAAAAACCAGAAAATCAAAAAATCAGCTAAGGGAAATTGCAGTCCAAAGCAACCCAAAATCCATACGCAAACATCTGGTGAAAAGTAAAGAACCAATACTCCAGCTAAGGGAAATTGCAGTCCAAAGCAACCCCGAACTCCAAAAGCAGACATCTGAACTTGAGGCTCCAATCCACACTACCACAGCTGAGAAACTAGACCAATCCCCATACAAACCATCGCAAACCATCAGTCTTGATGTTTGCTTTCAACCAGAGAAGAAACTAGCACAGATCAATCATTCTGCAAACTACACTCCAACCAGAGAAGAAACCTGCATTAACCTGCATTGCCTTTGAACAACACTCCTTGAATTTCCATGAGCAATACTGCAGCCCTATAGTCATTCTGCAAACTCAGAAAAAAAACTCATTCTGCAACACTCCTTTTAATAATTATATTATTTTACAAAATTATGCATAATAATATATAATAAATTATATATTTTCCGAACTGAGATTAAATAATATCAGTATAAATTCTATAGCATAATTAAATCTCAGTTCGGAAAATATATAATTTATTATATATTATTATGCATAATTTTGTAAAATAATATAATTATTAAAAGTTTAGGGGTCAAAATATAAATAATAATAATGGGTGTGGTACTAAAATAAATAATTAATTTTCTATTGGTATATGATAAAGTGTAATTTAATTAGAAACTAAATTATTTATATAATTATATTAAAAATTTAGGTAAAAATATAATTATCTTAATTATTTTCTTAAGATAAGTATGAATCTCAGAGTGAATCAGAAACAATCTGTGGAGGGATTTGAATCGCCCACGTGTTGGCTGATGGGTGGTCTCATCTCACTATTTATAGGGAGAAGTTGCTCAATCTGTGGAAGAGAGAAGAAGAAAGGAAAAGAAAGAGAGAAGGAAAGAAAAGAAAGAAAAGAGAGAAGGAATAAAAAAATAATGAAAGTAGAAAGGGTCTTTAATAGTGGAAAAGAAGAGTAAGGTATAAGGTATTAAAGTTAAGGTAAGTTATATTATATCTTGAGTCACCAAAATGTATTTTACGTATGTTTTAATTTACCAAAATCTGTTTTATACAAGTTATGTTTTTAATAAAAGTTATGTTTTATAAAGGTTTCAGTTACGTGGTTTATCTTCTGAACCTTATTTCCTTAAAAGGAAACCCATGGATATGCCTGTTTATATTTTAAAGAATATGTGACTTGACCTTATATAAAATTATGTTTTGTAAGTACCACCACGAGAGTCCCACGTCCTGGGGGACTTAAATAACCACTGGCCTCTGTTTGGTTACTTTGTGGTCCTCTGATCTATTGACATCTGTTTTGTGCGGACCAAAGTGCTGTGAGGAACTAAGTGCTACACTATAGTGGGAGCCACCTCTAGAATCTGTACGAGCCACCTCTTGAATCCGTACCTCTGTTCTGTGCGGACCAAAGTGCTGTGCGGAACTAAGTGCTATACTATTGTGGGAGCCACCTCTAGAATCCGTACCTCTGTTCTGTGCGGACAAAAGTGCTGTGCAGAACTAAGTGCTATACTATTGTGGGAGCCACCTCTAGAATCCGTACGAGCCACCTCTTGAATCTGTACCTCTGTTCTGACTGTCACTTCTGTAACCTCTGTTCTGTACCGTGGTTATAGTTATCTATTTATATAATATTTGTATTTCAATTTCTGTTACTTAAATGATTTCTGCTACTCAAATGATTTGTTTATGTAAATGTTTTGGCTACATAATTATCCATGGTTATTTCGTGCCCTTATACTCTTGGTATAATATTTCTCACTCTGTCATGAGCTTATAGTTGTTTACCAATTTTCAAGAAACATGCAATTCTGAAATAGTTTCTTGAAAGTCTTAGATGCGAGGCTGCGGAATAGACATACATAGCACTTTTTTATATGTCAATATCGGCCTTTTTGGTCAATATATTTTGTAATCAAAATAGAAGATCCACTGATTATTTTAGTACCAATACCTCAAATATTTCTTCCGCTTGCGTTTATTAATTTGTTTATGAATTGGCCGTAGGTAACTTCAGTTACTGGTCATCACGATACAGAATAATTAAAAATCTGGGTTGTTACAATCTTCCCCCCTTTTAAAATTTTGTTCTCGAAATTTGTCATATGTAAGCTATTCGCTGCGCACTCTGATAAATAAATATATATTAGATGATTAATTTGATAGAAAAGAATACCTCAAAAAAAAAATTTTTTACCAAAAATAACTCACGGTCTAGTTGTCAAAAATTGGTTTGGGCCAAAATGAGAAATAAGGAGCGACTTTAAAAATTTTTTACTCGTTTTGTTTACGATAAAAATAAATAAAAAATAAAAAAAATGAGAATACAATGACAGAATTATATTCAAGAATTAAAAACAATTTGAGATAAACTTTTCATTGATGGGAAATAGTTTCAAAATTAGTATCTTTATAATTTGAACCCACTTTAAAGAACATCAAATAATGTTTTTTTTGAATACTGAACTGAAAATTATATGTATTTAATTATATTATAATTTTGGTAAGTGCTTGAGCCCGACATCCTTTTGTTCTTGTTCTGCTTTTACTATAACAAATATAAACTATATCGAATATTCTTCACAAGGTATGCATACTAAAAAGAAATTTATTATATATATATATATATAATTTCCTACACCATAGGATGTCCAAACTTAGCTATGGAAATAAAAAGAGACTACACACATAACGGCTAATGTGTCAAACAAGCTAGGGTTTTTCTCATCCTACTTTTTAATTGTACGTGTGTCCTATGCTCCAATGATTTTTTTTTAAACCATTGCTCTGATACCATTTGTCATGACCCGCTCCCCGTACCCAAGGGTTAAGCATCGTGATGGCCAATAACTGAAGTTACCTACGGCCAATTCATAAACAAATTAATAAACGCAAGCGGAAGAAATATTTGAGGTATTGGTACCAAAATAATCAGTGGAGCTTCTATTTTGATTACAAAATATATTGACCAAAAAGGCCGATATTTACATATAAAAAAGTGTTATGTATGTCTATTCCGCAGTCTCACATCTAAGACTTTCCAGAAGCTATTTCAGAATTGCATGTTTCCTGAAAATTGGTAAACAACTATAAGCACATGACAGAGTGAGAAATATTATACCAAGAGTATAAGGGCACGAAATAACCATGGATAATTATGTAGCCAAAACATTTACATAAACAAATCATTTGAGTAGCAGAAATTGAAATACAGATATTAAATAAATAGATAACGATAACCACGGTACAGAAC